CCCCGCCCCCGAGGCACCGCCCCCTCCGCCCCCCTCCACTGCTCCTCTGTCGCTGGCTGCGACTCCTTCACTCTCCCTCCGCTGCCCGCCTCCAGTCTCCCTCGGGGCTCCTCCGTTCTCGGGTTCTCTGCCCCCCTACCCCCACCTCTGCCGGCTGCTTCTCCTCCGCCCCAGCCGGCTGCTCCTTTTCCCACCGCCCCGCTGCTCCTCCTTCTCCCTCCCCTCCGGCTCCGCTCGCTCCTCCCTCTTCCCTCCCGCTCCACCACCTCCTCGGGCCTCGCCGGGAAACCGCACGGGGGCCAGGATGGGCGCCGCCGCGTCCGTCCGCCCCCGGGCCACCGCGGGGAGGAAGGAGGGCCGGGAGGAGGGCGCCCCACCCGGGCTATAGGCGCCACCTGCCTGGAGCTGACTCCTGGAGCCCAAACAATTCCCGGGGGCGAGGGCGGTCACCTCGCTTCACTCACTCTCAGGCCTTGGACGTCTGGGGTCCTCCCTTCTGCCCACTTGAGCGGGGGCGCTGCCCCCTTGGTCTCCCGAATGCCCAAGATGGTCCCGCAAAGGTGGGTAAAGCCCCGAGGGGAGGGCAAGGGAGCTCGGTAGCTGGAGGAGAAACCCGAGGCCGGGCCTCAGGTGGGGCAGGGAGGACACACCTGGAAGCCGCTTAGCGTTCCTGCCAGGAGAGCCCCAGAAGAGGTGATCCGGAGTCCTCACTCGGAGCCAGGCCCCCTGACCTGCCCTGAGCGCTTCCATCTTCCAGTCTGGAGGATCCGATAGTTTGAGCGGAGACCCAAGTAGGCCACTGTTGGAGAGGAAGCCAGGTCAACTCCTAACACATGAAACCTCGGTGGTAATTTATGTTCTACTTACATCTCAGAGCTGGGGAAACTGAAGTCCAAAGTTGGGGCGCTCTCTTGCTCCAGATTCCCCAGCTGCTTAGTGCTCTAGATCCCTGGCCACAGAACTTGATGCCAGGAAATGCAGGCAAGTTATCAGGGAGGTTTTAAAACAGAGTGATACAAAAATATCTATAAAAAACTGGCAGTGCTCCAAATCTAGGGATCTGCAGAGGGGAAGAGACTAGAGGAAAACCTCCCAAAATGCTCACGGTAATTTACATTCCTTCAGTGGGATGATTTTTTAAGAATTATTTACCTTCCAAATTGTTTGTAAAGTCGTAATGCTACTTTTATAAGGAGAAAAGTTGTTTTAAAAAGAAGAATGTGAAGGCATGGAGATGTCCCATGCTGATTGGGACATACCCAAGGAAGGCCTCCCCTCTTCCCACCACAACACAGAAACTTCCTCACTCCCCAAGTGTCTGCCCCCACCCGAATGTTATAATGCTGGAAATTCCACCACTGGGGTCCTTTTAGTTTAACATGGACAGTTATTAAATATCCAAAGGAAAGGGGGGGAAGAATATCAAAAAAGCAAATATTGTGATCTTGTGTGTTCCGGGGAATGCCCAAGTGCAGAGTATCCTGGCTCTGGCATCTTCCCTTTGGATTGGCATGACTTATTGCCAAGGGGGCTGCCACTGCCTTTTCCCTCTCTTCCTGCCCACCCTGCAGTCACCTTCCCACCCAACATGGCCGGGCTGAAGCTGCATTCCCGCCCTCCCACGCATCCTGTCGTTTCAGAATTTCACAAATCTGGGCGCTCTCACTGGAAATGGCCGTGAATGGGGCTGGAGTGTACTGCAATGAAGCCAACCTCTACAGAGAGAGGTGGAATGAGAGGGAGAACATCCGCACACATCAAAGGACTGGTAGAAGGAAAGGCAAGATGAAAAGTATCAGATAAACAATAAGGGGTGGCGGAAGCTACATCCAATTAGGAGCTAAGAGGCAGGCGTTGACCCGCCTTTTGCTGAAGATGAGAGATCTTATGTACTCGTTCAGACTGGCGGCAAATATGTGCTGCAAACCTATGTGCAGGCCTTGTGCTGGGTGTTGGGATGCTGCAGGGAACAGGATAGAGTCTGTGCACTCCCACCCCCCAAGTTGGGGACGAAACAAAGAAATAGGCACTTAGGACTGTGACTTGTCTACAAATGAAGCCAGGGTGCCAACCTCAAATTAGAGACTCAGAGGAGGCCTTGTGAGACCAAAAGGAAGACGTCTTGGATGAGGAAATTGAGGCTCACGTTGTCAGGTTCCCAAGTTCTGAGCCCTTGCCCCTTGGCACACTGAGCTGCTGTCATCAAATACTTGTTGATTTGCACAGCAGGTGCAGCGTCCCAGCCAGATCTCCTTGACTAGGGGCGCACCCTTCTCAGAGGATTACCCTTGGTTGACAGATGTCTGAGAGGTTATGCCCACCCCCCAGGGACTGATTCTGCGGTATGACAGCGCAGCCCCCTTGACTTGGTGGGACAAACTGTAGTGCACCTCATACTCCAAGCTCCCCGAGGGCTACCATGGCTTTGCTAGCTCCTCGCCTGCCTCCCGTACCCGGATCAGTCAGCACCCCCCTAGTCAATCACTTGCACGGGAACCCCGACCTCGGGCACTGCTTCTTGGGAGCCTGACATAAGAGAGTCTGTTGTGCTTGCTCTCTTCCCAGACCTTAGCAGATATGAATCATTTGATCCTCGTAACAACATCTACAGACATTCCTGATTTCATTTGCACATTAATAGAGGAGAATTCAGGAGTGTGACAGGGCATGCCAGTGAAGATAGACCAGAGACCCTCGCTGAAAAAGCTTTATCCACATGCCCACCACCCACGGCCCCTGGACCTCTCTGACTCAGATAAGTGAAGCAGGCCCATTGCATTTGTCTTCCTAAAATGAGCCAGCTAAAGGAAAAGACCAGAACTTGGGGTGACTGAGGCCTGTTTACTGCACCATTAGTCCTTTTTGACTTGGTTTGCCCCAGGCCGCTGCTGATTGTCCCAGGAGACCTGAGCAGAGAGGTGGGATGGAAGAGAAGTTGGTAGGGGGGTGAAGAGAGGCTTGACTCCCCAGCTTTGCCATAAATTGGGAAGTCTTGTACGTGTGTGTTAATTGTTAGGGAGAAGAAGGCCTGTCTGTCTTACAGTCAAGCGGGGCTTTCGATGTTGGACTAAAAAACACGTGCACACACAAAACGCTGTAGGGAAAGGAGTCTTTAGTCTTAGCTGAATGAACAATTATGCATTCTTTGTTGCCTCCATCTTAAAGCCACAGCCTTGCCAACAACAAAAGTACAAACATCGGAGTGACCTCTCCTCCCACCAAGATTTCTGATGGAAAAACAGCTCAGGAAAAATCCACTTAGCTCCTGAGTAATCCAGATGCAAATACTTGTTCTCCTCCTCTCAGAGCCTCTGGGAAATTCCCTTTCTGAAACTGTTAAAATGCACTCAAGTATAGCCTGCAGAGTATTTTCTTTAAAATGCTTGTTAAGGAGTAAATCCAACGCACTCTGCATGCCAGACAAGCAAGCACAAAGTTTCAAGACTTTCTTCGATTCCACCTTCTCTCCCCACCCCTCTTCCCAAAGGATGACTCATTTTAAAAGGGAAGGTACAAAATTACATCTATGCACATTCAACACTTGAGAAGCTTCTAGAAAAGGGAGCACCGTGAAGGCTGCAATCATCATGTGTAAAATGAGAGAAATAAACACTGCCAAAGAAGTCTTGCTTGTATAAACAATCAAGTGTTCTAGGAAGTGACACATTGGGTAATTCTACACAGTGTGCTAAGAGGAAGACGGAAATGGGCCGGATCGGGTCTGAAGAAGAAATGGCTCATTGTTTGGCATTCTTTAAATGCTGGAATAATTACTCAATTATGGGCGCTTCCCATACATGTAAATAATGCAAATCCATGAGCTGTGGAGGAGACTACATGCAGTTCTTGCTAATTCCTGTCTTGCTGGTTTAGGGACTGCAAAGGAATGGAGAAATACCGAGATCCCTGGAGTCGGACAACACCACCCCCACCCCCGCCCCGGCCCCGCTCAGGAACTGGAAGGGGGGTGGGGTGGGGTTATTCCCTGCTGTGTTATTTCATGGCTTTATGGCTTTAACTTTAGGCACTTATTTGACTTGTGATCGGAAAAGCCATTGTCTAGATTTCGAGTGTGGACAGGGAACCTGGGTACGCTTTTCTCAAATGAGACTTCCTTGATTTGTGCAGATGCATCCAGTTTTCAGATTAAGGTTTTTCTCGTTTCCTAATCTTCCACTCCAAAGAGACGCAGGGTATTCCAGAAGAGTCAGCTTTGTGGATAAGCCAGGCGGACTCTGTTTGGTCATGTTTGTGCTTTATCCTGCTCTGTGTCGGCTTCTCAGCGCAAAGCAATGTCCTTGGAATCGGTTCATGGCTGTCATGGTGTAGGCGGATTCC